CCAATGGCACAACGGATCACGTGACTGAATGAATGAATGATAATGGCTATACCCTTCAAAACGGGCAGGGGCTTGTGCCACTTAGATGACAAAAAGTCAATGTTGCCCAATGTTTCGGTTTGCTGTCAAAAGCAAGATTGCAGCAAAAACGTCTAGCTTTTAGAGAAACAAATAGCGTAAAGATGCCCATTAGTACTTCTCAATGTGAAATTAATAATTAGTCAGTCCACTCCCCTTGGTTTCAACAGTCACTTTCGAAAATTCTGCACACACGTTTGCAGCTACCCATAAACGGTGCTGCGGGCTAGGTGAAGTGCCATGCCTGAACCCTTTGCACGAGCCCAATGTCAGCACTTTGTCCAATTAAGACATACATGTTAAGGCCCGTTCACACAGTTGCATTTGTTTAGGACCGAGTTCTTGTGATCTCTCATGATGAGGAAACACACCGGTATGCTGGCACCATCTATGAGGCAACCCTGGAACTGCGCCTGACTAGAGCCAAGGGTTTGGTGGCATTTGCTAGAACAATTGAACATACCATCTATGAGAAATAGGTCGTTTATAACATTATCAAAAGTTCATCGAACCATTAAAAAAATTTTGATGGCTGAAAGAAATAGGAATTATACGGAAATGCCAAGAGTTCCTCAGCTACCTAATAGTGGTGCTAGTGTGTGCTCTCTCGTCACAAGATATTTCAAGAGGTTTTAAGGTACATGGTTGTAAGCAGTCGAAAGCATGTGTACCGGCTTTAGTGTTAAACTGTAACATGCAAACTGGCACTTCGCATGGGCACACTGCACAATATTAACGTTCGATAACTATCTTTTAGATATGTGAGAAAAAAAAATAAAGAATGCTGATAGGTGGTCTGGGCTAATTATGTCGCACTCTGTACACTGCACGCTGAAATAAAAGTTAATCCAAAGAAGTCTTTTAGAAATTGTCTTAATAAATATCACAAACCTAATCAATAAATGCCTAAAACAAGTAATACAGAGCCTATGGTGGTTCTTGAGGAATCCTCATCTGCCTCAAAGGAAAACCAATGAACCCTCGTCCCCTTCGGCATTGCTATACTGAAGCAGGACACTGAAGAGGCCTTTTGACTTTGTCAACAGTAATGCACACACTACAGAGTGTCTGGCTCGTAAATGGGCATCAATGCTTGGCTCAGACATGCTAAGATAATGCATAATGGGGAAGGGACACTACCCAGAAAAAATATTTCTGCAAAAAAAGTTGATTTTGAAAAATGCCGTATTTACATCCTGCAACATCTAGAGAGTATTCTCCAAAAGTTTAATTTGTTTACACTGCGTACCATAAAATCCCGACAGATGCCCCACCTTCAAAAGGTAACCCGCACCCTATTGTTGGCTTGATTTACTACTTTCTTTTGAACACCGAAAGATAGCCCGCTTTTAGTAATCGCAATGTTGGAATCAATGATGACCTCGGCGTAAATGCGTCTAGTTAGCTATGACGGGATATAAGTGAACATTGCTGACTGGTAAGTACAGTAATCTTTGCTTTATTGCCCCGCCGACATGAGAAGTTTGGCAGGGACAGATGATCTTAAAACAGCATTTTTTAAGACTTGATTGCACACCGGAAGTTAATTCACTCCTTATTTTTCCCCAATTTTCTCTTGGCCTTAGGTGGGCTAGCTGGGGATATTACGGTAGTTATTTCTTTATAAATTATTTTCAATCCACCGACGCTTAAGAAAAGATGGAGGTTCAACACTTTGAACGTGGTTGTCTCCGTTCCACTTTTTGGCATAAATTTCCCTTAATTATAAATCTACCACTTCAGTATGAAACTAGAGACTTAATTTTTGCAGCTTATATACCAAAATTTTATGGAGCCAGTCACTATGAACTTAGATTTTTGCATTTTCATGTTCTTTTATTATGAAAAATTGTAATTTACAAACTCTTGGTAAATGTAAAAAAAAATTTTATGATTTGTTTTTATGTGGAAAATGCATATTTTCTGATTTAAAAGGTTAAAAAGCGCAACACAACAAGGACAATAAAGACACGAAGACGACAGGACGGGCACAGGATAGCGCCCGTCCTGTCGTCTTCGTGTCTTTATTGTCCTTGTTGTGTTGCGCTTTTTAACCTTTTAAATCAGTATGAACCAACTCGCCCAAACACAAGTTTTAATTCAGCATATTTTCTGAAATTTCTTTTAATAGCAACTGGCAACAGGTATTCCGGTATGCATTCCACCAGAAATATATGTGGTTATCAACACCATTTTTTAACGATGATTCATTGAGCAGATTCCATGCAAAGCTATGCTTTACTTTATTCTGGGGGTATAGAACCTCATAAAATTGGTTCACAGGGCTGAAAATGCATGCACTCCTTCTATATGGCTACAAACACCACCTGTAAATTTCACGCCAATTCAAAAGTTGCCTTTCCCAGGTAATGACCTCCCTTAAACTGGGGAAACACTTTGCCTGGAGTAGGGAGAATTGAGAGAGTTTAAGTGCTCGATGAACCCCAGACCGTACTCTGGGGTCAAATTTGGGGGGTTTTACGTGCCAAACCTACGACGAGCATCTGGCACGCCCCAGCGGAGGACTGAGGATTAATTTCGACCACCTGGGGATCTTTTGACGTGCAAACGAAAGCTCGTTTACACAACGCCTTCTCCGCAATAAGCCTCCGTCAGATTGCAAGCACCTCGGTCGGGATTCGAACCCGCCACCTGGGGATCCGTAGGCCACCGTACTCTGGGGAATCCCTGGTTTCCTCCCATGCCCTATGCCATTAGTTTTCAAACCGGGTTCCTGGGAGACGTGCAGTTCTCCAGAGTAACCCAAGGGGATTCCAGAGCTCTCAAAATTCTTCGGCCATCCTGGCCCCTGAGTAAAGCATCCTTCCGGTTTAAGCACTAGCTTAGAAAACCAGAGTCACCCACTGATGCGTAGCTATGTTGCAAACATGCCCTAGTATGTGCAGTCCTGTTAAGAAGGTCTGCGGTCTTTTGCCCTGCTTTATTTAATTGGTCCCGAGACTGGGAGAAGTTTCTTGGCAAGTCAGTCGACTCAATCGAGAGAGAGATAGGTCAATCCAAACGGATAGGCCAGATTGAAGCGTTTCAGATCCCTCGCCCTAAAATGAGCAAAGGCATTACGGTAGTAAAAGGATGGAATAATCGTAGAACAAACAGGCACAAAAATGCCATGAAAAAACTTGGTGGACGCTTAAGCTTCACCTATAAAGGCCGACAAACACTTTGCGCTTTCCACTTTTGCAGTGTTGGGTAAAGTACATCCAAAAGGTACTTCAAGTAAAGTACAAAGTAAATTAGGTGCGATGCACATTAAGTAAAGTATTAAGTACACCGGGTGCAACATACTTGAAGTAAAGTACTAAAATACAATGTACTTTCAAAGTAAAGTACAAGTATTTTAACACAATCTTTCATGATGCCCTTTCATTCCACTATACAGCGATTTTTTAACTGGTATGCATTGCCCATCGGTAATCAAGGGTGCATGACCTATTTTCAAAAACAGCGGCAAATATTTTATAAAGTCAAGTGGCCACAGGGTAGTAGTTATTTTCAGGAATGGAGCCAAATTCAGAAGACCCTCTTCTGAATTTGGCGCCCCTTGCACTAGATTGTTGCACTCAAGGGGATTAAATGTGAGAGAGTATGACATCAGCCCCGCAGCTTCTGCAAGCAATCCTCTCATAAAAAAAGCTTCCTCTCCTTAATAAAAAAGAAAAATGAGTGTGCAAGCGTGCTGTTCATAATTAATCTTAATGCGACACCTGAGATTGGGGTGCGAAAAAATTAGAGAACTTTTAAATAGAAGAAAAAGACAAGTCTCAAAACATTGTGACATTCTCCTCTGTTGTCTTGTACTTCGGCCTGATAATTCCATTTTTTTTCGCACCACAGTCTCAGGTGCTACATTATGATTAATTTTGCTCTCCTCATATTTTAAACCTCCTCGCTTGCGCTGACCGACCGAGAAGTAGCGAGTTAAAAAAGAACTATGGGAAAGGCCGCTCCCAGAACAAACGGAGCGGTGCGTCATCTGCTCACATTTCTGGTGAGAGTAGAACATCCCTCCCAGTATTTCTTTGGAGTTCACAAAGCATCATTTCATGAAACAAATTTTACAAAACCAAATTTTGGGAATTTACTTTGAAGTCGGGAATTGTACTTTCCTCGGAAAGTACCTGAAAAAAATACTTTAAGCAGAAGTACATACTCAGAGAATGTACTACAAGCAAAAGTTTCCTAAACCTACTTGAAGTAGTACAATGTACTTAAAGTACTTCCCAACACTGCACTTTTGCCCGCCTCCTCCTTTCCTGTATCCTCTCCACTTTCTACCTTGCCCCAACTTGGCTCCTTTCGCAGCTCAGGAGAGGGGAGCGCTAAGAGGTCTATCTTCCCTGCAGAAAACCGAGGTTTCACGTCGGCTTTTAAGACTGGAACGCGATAGCGTTCTCAGGCCCCGTTCGCATCGCCTTCTCATGCTCTTCCTGCCAGTCCTAGCTATTAGCGTGTCTGGCTTGCAACTGAAGGGTCGTGGGTTTGATTTCTGCCTAAAATTATTTACATCTTTATTTAAGGCGAATTAATTACTTTATGAAGTGAAATCATTTGAGACATGCGGCGACCTTTAATGCACATTACATGTCGTGTTTCTTAATCACTTTCATTCCACGTGTGACTTTGTTTCACGTAAGTGATGTGGGTTGTTTGAAATTCCCGTGCGAGGTCATGTGGCTGTGACGTCATCACGCTATGGATCAATCAGGATTTTCACTTCACGCCACCAAGGCCAGCTTTTCTACGACACAAGGTCCTTAATGTAATCGCGTTAATAAGCAACAAAAATGAGACAAGAGCAGCAAACACCACACAAGGTCTACCTTGTTCTAGCATACAGTGGAGCCAGAACATGAATGATGTAGTAGCAATTAGGTCGAAGAGCGGGTAAACGACAGACTCACCCTGGGATCTGCGTGACCAGCACGGGTTTGACGTAGCCGTTGCTGATGGCTGGCTGAGTGTCTGTGAGGAGAGAACACAAGAGCACCCGCTGCTCAAAGCCGCCTCAGGAGAGCCGATAAGTCGGCCCGTCCACTTCTAGAGAGATTTGTCGACCACAGAAAGAAAGCTAGACCACCAACTACGATGCTATACAGACTTCGGCAAAAACCACAGCTTTGGGAGTCTATTTGTAGACGGCAACATTTTATATCGTACAGTATAGACCACTTACAACGTAACCGCTTATAGTGCAGGACCGGGTATAACGCGGCTTTTTTTTAAACCACCGGTTCACCTCCCATAGAATTCCATGTAATTACATACCGCTTAAAATGCAAGTGCGTGAAGGGAAATACCGGTTATAGTGCGGTTTCTGGAACAGCCCGCCGACCGCGCCGACCACTACTGGCGCAGCGAGCACGCTTCCCTGTGCGACACTAGATAACGGCGCTAGCCGCAAGCGGCACTTGCGGGGCAAGGAGGTTGCTCGAAGAAGCGGAGAGAAGCGAAGAGAAAGGCTTCAGTTGCCATAGTGACAGAGGGACGCACGCACGTGTCGTTCACGTGCGTGCGTCCCTCCGCTGCGTTCGAAACAATCGCAACGACAGACCAGTCACAAATCGAGGAGAAATGTTCGCGCGCGTTGCGTGCCGGTCGCGCGCCGGCTTCTTCTATCCGCAAACATGGCGTCAGTTGTGATCGTCGACGTAGACGGCGTGGTTAGCGTGGTGGAAGCTCATCGTTCCGCGTAAAAGCGCTATCCTTGACTGAATTTTCGTTGTGTGTCGCTATGATAACCCAGAACGTACTAGAAGGGAAGATCCACCTATTTGTGCGGCGATGTTGTGGCGGCACTCTCAAGACGGCAGAAACGCCTGTGTCGTCTGTTTGTTTACTTCGACTACAGTGGTGCTTTCTAAGCATTTGTGTTTTCGAACATCGCCCGGATTTCTTATTTGGAGCATTTCATGCCTGCGCTCAAGTTGAAGGTGTTACTGGCGCGTACCATATAAAGGATGCGAATTTTTACGCGTTTTCATCACCGGAGAGAAGTGATTAGAATTAGCAATCCTGAACGCTCGCAACGTCCGTCCGCAACCAGCGACGCTGTTAAAAGGCTGCGCCAGGCAAAAGTCATCCATTTCTTTCAAAATATGTGACACACTTGAGAGAGAAGTGTACTAGTCTGGCAAAATAAAGACTTTCCTCAAACTAAGCTTTATTTTTCATTTAACATAAAATAAATTCTTTTACAAAGGTAAGTTGTCTCATGGCATGTATTTTGGCCTGAAAAATTGATATTTTGGTTATTGCGCAGTACCGCTTATAGTGCGGATTTTCGGGACTCCCGCGACATACCTTACAGGCAATTTACACTGTACTTGCCCTCACTGAACGTCTCTAAATCAAATGTGCTTTGGTGTTTCCTTATTTTCAGAGAGGAGTGGCTTTCCTTTTTTTTTTTTAAAGAAAAGTGAAGATGTTAATGTAACTGGCTTTGACAAATGTGTCAGTACATTAGTTACATATTATACAGACGAAGCACAACAAGTTTTAGAGCGCAGCTCTTAGACGCCCGTTTCCATGTTTCGCGGTGTCGCCGTCGGTGTGACTGCGCTAAATTTAGAGGGAAAATTGACGTCACCTGACTTCAACACCAATTCAATTCCCTGCTAAATTAAGCGGGGAATTGATGTCACATGACCTCAACAGCAATTCGATTCCCCGCTAAATTTAGCAGTAAATTGAATCGCTGTTGAGGTCATGTGGTGTCAATTTTCCGGCTAAATTTAGCTGGAGGAGGAGGGAAAAGGGGGAGGACAGGGTGGAGGAGGCCCTGCCCTCCCCCTCCCCTCCTCTTTCTCAAAAGCTGCGCTCTAATTTTGCATTACAGAGTTTTGTAAACATTTTTAATTTTTGTTCCACAACGTTCCATCCTTCTAATTTCTAAATAAAGTGTCTGTAATGCCGCATTAGTACATGTTTGTGGCAGATAAGATGGCAACGCGAGGCAAGAAAGATCTCTCGAATTGCTGAAGTCACCTTGAACAGAAACTCAAATGACAAGTGTGGTAGCCCACATTACGTACTGCAAATAATAAGAGCACCAATTCTGGAGTGGACAAGTTCAATCCACGAGCAGCAAGTAAAACAAAAGCCCACAACCACAACATTTTCTGAGTGCAATCTATTAATACAATCCCCAACCAAATCCTTCCAAAAATATTTCCTCAGTAACAACGCCACACACAAAGCAGCAACTGCGCAGCAGAAATGATGCACAAGCAATTTCGCAGCGAAAGGTACAAAAAGAAAAAAGATGTCTACATTTAGTGACAGGTCAAGAGTGAAGTGGAGGCACCTCCCACCTCTCTCCCCTTTGGCAGAGCGAAAGCTGGAGAAGGGGCGACCTCCTCTCCAGCGTTTGCTCTGCTAAAGCGTGAAGAGGTTGGAGGAGCTTCCACTTCACTTTTCACCTGTCACCAACTACAGGAAGGTGACACTTGCATGTCACCCTTTTTCTATTTCCTTGGACACCCTCAAAGCGGCAGTACTTACCAGTGACTGGGGTGTAGTACTTGCCGAAGGCCTGATCCTTGGGTGTGTCGGGGTACATGAAGGCGAGCTGCTGCAGGTCGCTCACCCTGTCCGCCAGGCTGCGGATGGTGAAGTCCCGGCTGGTGAACGGCTGGATCATTATCACCTCCTTGGTGTCTGCAGGGACCCAGGCAAAGCAGGGTCTTGACTCGCAAGCAAGCCAGGAAACGGTACATACTGTGCACAGGCCAATCCTAATTAGGACTGGACCTCCTCGTAAGCCGAAACATCCAACCAGTCCTTTCAGACACTAAATGCTTCTCCAGCAAATTTCGTTGCATTTGAAAGCTGTTCTCAACATTTCTAGCAAGGGATGCCAGGGTTTCTTTCCAGGTGTATTAAATATAGAGAAAAGGTAATTTCATAATGCAAGCCTTGTCAGCGTGGTCGTATATAGTACCGTGTGTGACGACTGGTCAGTTGCAAAACAGGTGGAATGACAGTTTGCCCTTTTGTCCACTGTCACTGCACCACAACATGCCGTTCCACATAATGTCGGGAGAATGAACGAGGGAAAGGGGAGAGCACTGACCCTGGGTGGGGTCTTCGTGCACCCAGGCAATCGTGACTCCTCCGAGCTCAGAGTCGCTGAAGCGGAGTAGGAAGGTTCCGTTGCAGCCCTGTCGGAGCATGTCCTCTGCCTGGCGCCGTCCAACAAAGCCCCATACAACGCTACGAGGCCAAAAAGAAAAGGCAATATTTTAGCTTTTTTACAAGTACAAGCACACTGAACAGGTAGAACCTGGTATAATGTTTCAGGGCATCTTTCCACTCATTTGCTTGACCATGAGCCTTTCGCAGAGGATGTTGCACTTCTCAGATATGCTAACTCCCAACCATGCCCGTTTTTTTAGGGTTGGGCGAATATTCGGTTATTATGAATAGCCAATCGAATTCTGTTCTATTCGGCATTCGCTTCGAATCGAATTTAAGTATTCGACAATATTGAATTATTCGACAATATAGGATTATTCAACCTTTCTAAATACAGTCAAACCCGACTATATCGAACCTGTTTACATCGAATTATTCGTTATATCGAGGAATATCTGTGCACAGTAATGTTACAGTGATGACATATAGCAAAAACTATGGTTGCATCGAACAAAAATAGCAGCCGCTACTGATATATCGAACTGCCAAGAGCGCCGGTTTGCTCTGCAAGCTGGCTTTCCCCCCAACGCGAGTGGCCGCATTGGGGGAAAGTCAGCTTGCAGAGCACGCTGGCTTTCTCTTCTTAGGGAAGAAAAGAAAACAGCTTCAGCGAAGAGGGGGTGCTCCGTGTTCTCTCTCCCCGCTCCGTCCGTAAAAGAGAATATTATTTTTTCTTTCAAACAATTGACACTGCCGCCCAGAAAAAAAGAGAAAAAAAAAAAAAGCCTGCTTGATTTGTTAGTTAATTTTCCCCCAACGCAGCCACCTGCTGTAGGGGAAAGCCAACTTGCAAAGCAAAACGGCGCTCTGCAGGAGGTGCTCCTGCTCGGACATACTCCGTGCTCTCGGCATAGTTCGGCGCTAATGCGCGAACGTAGAAGGCAGCGGTCTGAGCATTTTGGAGTCCGTTGATAGCACAGAAAAATATCGTTATTGCGGATGCGATGAAGAAAAAGCAGCAGAAGATGCAAGACTACTTCATTGTGTAATATTTCAACAGAAAGTGGATTTTTGAGTCAAATTCATTAAAACTTTTATATTGAATAACCCGCTATATCGAACTAGTAGACGTTTTTTTGCGAGTTCGATATAAACGGGTTTGACTTACTCTGGCTTTGATTTCTAGCCAGGTGGCGCAAGCTTCCGACCATTTTGTCCATTTCATGCTCCCAAACTCAATACACTTAAAATTGACAATTACAGTACTTCTAATACCAAATAAGGGCAAATATAAAACTATAGTTCAGACATATCTTGTGGTCTCTGTTGCTTGTACTATTCGAAGCATTCGATTAGAAATTATTCGGCCAAAATCACTATTCACTTCGAATTAGATTCGGACCCAAAATCCTCTATTCGCCCATGCCTACGTTCTTGTTTTCTGCTCCATACAAATATCATTTCCCCTGAGTGCCACCAGTAGCTCACTCTTGTCCGCAATATTCAATGTTCAAATATTCACAGCTACTTTTATTGATATTTCTCGGTAAACTCGGTGACATAAGAGAACTGTCTAGAACCATAGCTAACAGCAGCAAAAAATTAAGGAGCAGACTCTGCTATGCTGTTTCCTAGAAAGCTAACCCGTTTCAGTTCATATTCCTAGCATCCGTTGATTATTGTGCTTGTCTTAGTAAAAACGTAATCTAAAGAGTGTGCCAGAATTGATAGCAAAACAACTACATAAATATATGCTCTTTGGCCTCCAACCCGCAAGCGGCAACAGAAAATAAAACCCACCTTTTGTTAGCAACAAATACCGTGTTTATTTGAATCTAGGTTGATAGTTTTTTTAAAATACCGATACATCAAACTCTAGGGTCGGCTTAGATTGGAGGATTTTGCCATTATAGTTCCGCTTTTAAAAGAAAAGTTGTTTTAGCCGTGGAGTTGTCGTCGAACGTTGAAGCCGGGCAGGACTTGAGCGTGGAGGAAAGGAATGTCCGTCGTTGCAGGAAGCAACGGGAGAGGATATTTGCGTGCGCCGCAACGAGGATGGCATTCAACGGACCACGAAAACGCCATGAAATGGAGAAGGCATTGGCCGACTTGGTTTGGACGCAGCGAGCAGCTGCCCTTCCAGTAACGACGGAAGTGCTCCAGGCGAAAGCGAGGGAGCTTTCAAGGGAACGAGGCTTATTGCGGGCACACTTCAAAGCCAGCCGTGGCTGGCTACAGAAATTTATGAAGCGCTTCGGCTTTAGCCTCCGTCGTCGCACCTCTATCGCACAGAAGTTGCCCGGTGATTTTGAGGAGAAACTGATTGAGTTCCAGCGCTATGTGCTGCAAAAGCGGGAAGCGAGAGCCTATCCACTCGGACAAATCGGCAACGCGCACCAGACACCTGTATATTTTGATACGCCGGTGGCGTACAACGTCAGTGAAAAGGGCGCCAAAGAAGTGAAGGTGTGCTCTGCAGGATATGAAAAGCAGCGCGCGACAGTGATGCTGTGCTGCACGGCAGACAGACATAAGCTCCCTCCTTATATTATATTTAAGAGGAAGACACTGCCCGCCAAAGAAGTCTTCCCGCAAAATGTCATTGTGCAGGTCAATGAGAAAGGCTGGATGACGAGCGCCATGGTTCAAGAATGGATAAGGATCGTGTGGTGGCGGTGTCCAGGCGCCCTTTTGTGCAAGAACTCGCTCCTTGTGCTCGACTCCTACTGCGGGCATTTGACCGACAGTGTGAAGGCTGCGCTCGCCGAGGCGAACACCAACCTCGCTGTGATACCGGGTGGCATGACGGGCCAGTTGCAACCACTTGATGTGTGTATAAATAAGCCATTCAAGGATCGCCTGCGGGGGTTCTACACGGACTGGTTGAACGAGGAAGACCATCAGCTTATGGCAACAGGCTGCATCAAGCGCGCATCACTGTCGCAAGTGGCGGGCTGGGTAGCTGCAGCGTGGGACGACATCTCTGGAACTTTGATCATGCGCTCCTTCAAAAAGTGCAGCATATCAAATACGCTTGATGGTACTGAGGATAGCGCACTGTTTGAAGATGACAGTGATAAACAAGTCAGCGACGAGGCTAGCAGCGATGATGACTCAGAATGAGCACGGCATCTTCATGTTCAATAAATGTCTTGTTTTTGTGAACGCTGTCCTCACCTTTTCGTTCGGCCTACATTCGAGGCAAGTTTTTTTTTTTTTTCCTGGCTTCGGACTTTCTGGGGTCGGCTTAAAATCGGGGCCGGCCTAGATTCGAATAAATACAGCATATACCGCATGTTTTCAAGAGTTGGCATATCCAAAAGCTATCTCTCATTTAGTAAGAAATACCACTCCTTTGCAAAAGCTGGCATATCAAGCCTGTCTAGAGTCAAACCTGGAGCATAACAATGTCCGTAAGAAATATCAAACCTCTTCAAGAGTTGCAATATCCAACCTGCCCGAGTCAAACCTGCCATTTGTAATGTCCCGTCTTTCCAGAGTCAAACCTGCCTAACAATGTTCATACGAAACGCATGCTTCACTTTATCGAAACTGAGAAGGGTCCGAATCTGGTAGTACAGCACCTCTACTGTACCGATATTCATGCAAAAGTGTTTTCGGCGCATCACCCACGTGAGGGGACCGGTACCTGTCGTTCCACAGTGCCCTGAGGTGCTCCCGGGTGACCTTCATGATGGCGTAGAACCACTCCCAGAAGGTGAAGTTGCGCTCGGGAAGGGGCTCTTTGCAGAACTGCGACCAGCTCACCAGCATGTTGGTGAAGTCTTGGATCTGGGCGTCTGCAAACAATGCCGGACAAACAACCCCGGTCACATCCACCCATTGCAAGTGGAGCGAGAACTAGGATAACATTTTGTGGCAATCGAGTTAAAGCACAGTGGTTCTCAAATGGGGGTCTGTGGACCCTTTAATGTCCCCGAGGGCCTTCTTGGGGTTCCCAAAGCCCTCGACCATAAAGAACAAAATTGTTTGTATTGATGCTGGCTGATAAAAAGACCGAGCCATGAGCACAGAGTTAGTAAGGTTGATTATTCTTCGTTCCAGAGTTTTAAAGTTGGTTTGAAAGTATTTAGTTTTCTTCGCTGCGGCATGGCGGTCTTCACTGCGGCATGGCGGATGGGGACCCCCCCCTGGTGGAGGGGGTCCCCATCACTTGAAACGACCCAGAAGGGATCCCCAAAGCATCAGTGGTTGAGAACCACTGCTATAGCAGCACTTGCACACATATCAAAGAACTTGAACCCATCTGCCTTTTTCTTCCGAGCTGCTGCAGAAAGTTGTCCCCAAGTACAGTCAGCGAAAGTTTTGGAAAAAGTCCTCTCGTATACACTGGGACCAAGGTTCTCCCCAAGAATTGTTTTAGGGGTGGACATAACCTCCATGCGGGGGGGCAAGTTTGGAATGAGGCACGATGAGTGGCGCCATGCCGCGGTGATGAAACAAAAACCACAATGCCGCTGGGATGAGGCTATAGTCGGGTTCTCCGGTTCCTCTATAGCCGACATGTCTGCTGTCTGCCCATTCTTATGGCTCTTCCAGTTCTTCTCGTGGTCCGCGTTTCTCTATTGCAACCGCGAGAAGACCAGCCGTCTGCCGATCTTATGGTCGTGGAGCACGAAGGTTTATTGCGAATAGGCTTAGTATTGAAGCGAGCTTGGCGGACTAAACATTGTCTCCAAAAAGTGCCAAATGGCACCAACTTCACTTCTGTTTGTGCCAATGAAGGCGCCGACAAAATGCAGCACCATGATCAAACAGATGAACAAACAAGTGAAAAGTGAATAATACAAAGCGGAAGTTGCACGAGAACTTAAAATTGATATTAAGCGAAAGGAAAGTGGCCAATACGCAGCGGAAAATGTGCGGAAATTTGATATTTCGGCTTAAATCGATTTTTCGGACCACCCGATTATTTAAACAATTTCAGGGTCCCCTCCAAGTCTGAAAGATCAGTTAACGACTGTAGCAGCAGTCTGTAAAATTTGGATTACAGCCTAAAAATGTTGACAATACACAACATGATCTTTATAGAATGACCAAGATGTATCTTTGGGAACACTGAATATTGTTCAACATGTGCAATAGGGTTTCTTATCAAAGCATGGTTGACCAGACTGCCGCGTCATCTGGTTCGCCAAATGCAGTTTGACGAGACAAATAGATTGGCAAAGTTATGGGTATGTGATGAAAACGCTAAATGCTCGGGCTTACTCCAAGAACCGACCAGAAACTATTTAGCAGGTTTTCCGCTGAGACTGGCTAACTTTCTTTCAGTTTCTGATTTTCGTCACATCGGTTCTATGGATTCATTCCATTACAGGTAGACATCCTCGTATAAAAAGTTTAACATTTGCGCCACACGTCTAAAGGACTGTCCACACAGGATACTACCGTGTTATGCAGGGTAATTGCCATGCACAAGAGAGTCGGTTTTCCTCCGCTTCCAGTCTGCTTTGGACCGATTTTAGTCGGGGGAAAGCGACCCTTCACCTACATCCTTGGAAGAAGCTCACGACGTAAGTCCCAGGATGTTGTCAACTTTGAAGTAAGTAAGTAAGATTAAGGTTTTAATGGCGCAGCGGCAACGGAGGCCATCATGCGCCAAACAAAAATTGTCAACTTTGAACTTTGAATGTCCCGAAAACGATGACACAGAGACAAAGGCAATGGCGAGAAGGAAAGTTGTGCTGCATCGAGCCCAGCAGCATGGTTCATGTCCTCGTTGAAATTGTACGCATGTTCTGAATTAGATATTGGGTACTTTCGAAAATTGAGCTCGATTCTTTTTGCTGTGTGTGGCACAAATCGTCCGTCTTCTGTGGACAGCGCTTAAAGGGTTGTTCAAACAGGACAAGTTTTCTGCAGTCACAGCATCTACCATATTGAACAAGGTTTTCCTCTAATTCCGGTAACTTTTGCACATTCGTTTTTTGCAGGAGGGAAATCTTCCCATCGCTTACATCCTTGCAGACTTAATCCGATGTTGAGCATAACAAATGTGGTGTAGCGCAGCGCACAGAGATACTGATTGGTCGCAGACATCAGGTTCCCGCTCGCCAGCCAATGGAAGACGCACGTTCTGCACTATGCTGCATTAGCTGCGCTTAACGTCAAAGTATAACCGCCTTTAAAGCGTGCTCATCACGTGGGTTCGGACAGCCACTCGTACACTCTTTTGGCCGTCATCGAATCCTCTGCTGCTGTCGTCAACCCCCAATGTACCAAAAACAAGAAAGGGAAAGAGACGACGGCGAGGACGAGAGGAGGCAAGCCGAGCCATTTGCATGGACGACGTCCAAACTGAAAATGGACGCACGTACCGCAACGTTCACATTATTTGATAAAAATTTACGCCTTCTTTGTCGCGACAGCACTTGCGGTACCCCGCGTGAAGAGCCCTTTTAAGAGTGGTCTTTGTGCCGAGAAAAGGGAGGACAGGAGAGGCCACTCACTGCGGAAGGCCTTCCCGGCCAGGTAGCGCAGGTTGTCCTCGGAGAGGCCCCTGCCCGTGGCCGAGCGGAACTTCATGCTGAGCACCTCGCCCAGCTGGGGCCAGGGCACCTTGTCCGGCACCGCAAAGGGCACCCGCCCCTGCACCGACGAGGGGGCACCCCGCTGAGCCTGGGCGCTCCGCTGGGGAGGGGCCGCGAGCCAAGCAGCGGAAGGGGAGGGCGGGGAGGGGGGGCCAACAAAGCCGAGGGTTAGTGCAGCCAGGAAGCGTGGTCAGTGCCGGGGCAGGAGGCAGAGAGGAGCAACGGCCCCCTAAACGGCGAGGACGTGGTGCCGCATTTTCTACGCCGCCCACCGTAGGTCGCCGCGGGGCACAGATCGAACGGGAATTTTGGCCGAATGCCAACGTGGGACTCGCGTCCAATTTGTGCCCCGCACTAACTCGGGTGAGGGACGTCGAAATTCCAGCACAATGTCCTCGCCGTTCAGGTGTTGAGAGGAGCGGAAGGAGAGGGGGAAAGTTTGAAAAAAAAAGAGACGTTGCCATGGCATGCAATGTGCGAGGTTGTCAGGGGCAGACGGCACGATGCGGCCCGCGTGCGGCAACGGCCACGCTAACCGAAGGGAGAGAGCTACCGGGAGGAAACCTCGATTCGAGCCTCTTATATAGGTTCCACTGCGGCCGTGAACTTGGAGGGGGCGCTACACGAGGCAGCGTTATGCCAGTTCCTACCCAGAACTACCGCTAGGTGGGAGTAGACGTCTGTCGCATGGCGAAGGCTACCCTTCGCTTCGCAGGGAGCGTGCTACCGACCCCTCGTGGCGTGTCCTCGGAAAGCCTTCAAATAGTATCACAAAAACACAATTTGTATATTGCGTCCGTACACGATTTGAGAAAGCTGTGGAAACGTTGAAACGGTGCTAGAGCAGACAACCAATTGCTCGCGCTGCCCCCGCTTTCAATCGCAATTAGTTGGATTAGTAGCTGCCAGATGGATCTGCCAAACAGCGGCAAGTTCCATGGGAGGGATGCATCGAGTGCACACTCCCCGGAAAACAGGGTTGACAGCAGTGTTGTACGCAACGGCATCCCAAGGAAAGGCGCTCTTGGAACGCGTTCCTTTTAGGAGCAGCGAAGGAACGCCGCCGTTTCATTTTGCATCGGTGGAACTGGAACGGGAACTCGTTACATTTTTACTGGAACGGACAAAGGAACGGCGTTCCTTTCTTCGTCCAGCGGGGTAATTTTTATTTTATTTTGAAGAGGGAAATTCCAAAAATACAAAAACAATATCTTTGCGAGAAGCATGATCTTGTTAACTTTTTGGTTACTTATCTCAGGGTTTATTTTGTGTGTCCTTCGCTTGGTAACAGTCAGGTGCAGAAAAGCTAGCGGACATCAATTCTTTTTTCAGTGCCCGAGACTGCGGTACAAAAAGCAAAACCTCTAGCCGAAGAAAAAGACACAGAAGGAGGGACGTTTCAAACTCAGTTACTTTCTTTGCTTCCACGAATCCTCATACACCCAGAAATCTCAGGCCGACTACAGTCATCACTGAACTTCCACAAAGATACCTACAGTTACAACATCCAGATATCGAACGCACCCTTGTACCCCGAACATCGGTCACTTAAAAGATCCACAAATATTAACCTATATTCCTTCTCCCCCCCCTTCCAAGTGAACGATTCCAACCTTCACGAAGAAGGACTTGTAGTTTCCAGTATTGACCTCCTAAAAGCCCTACCTTCTTCCTCACTTACTCGTCTTGCGTACAGCAACATCGAGAAGCAATGGTTTTAAAGTTCAAACAAGGGGCTTCGTTAGATTGAAACGTGTGAAGTTGCTGTAAAACGCTCGTGCAATGTGGGGTAACAGTACATTTGGCTTGTCTGAATCGCCCATCACAAAACATGAATATGGTTAAAAGCTGAGATTTTGAAAGTGAATATATCAACAAATGAAGCTACTTCCGCTTGTTTTCTTTTCCTGGTGCTCTTCCATCACGGCATTCAAATTCTTGTTGCCATTTGATGTAGAAGATTATATAAAAAAAAATAAAACTTAGTTCGATTTAACCAAACACGGTACTCAGCAAAATACAGAAGTAACGTATATGTAACGATGCGTTCCCTTTTTTTAAACGGTAATGGGAATGAGTTCCTTTCTGACAGATGGAACTTGTAACGGGAACACGTTCCAAAAATCAGAAGGAACGAGAAACCAGATTTTGTTCCTTTTTTTTTTTTTGAGGAACGTGTGCAACACTGGTTAACACGCATAGTGCAACCTATGTGCGAGGCTCCGCTAGGGTCTGGGGACTGGGCAGGCAGCGCGGATGGAATAGGGGACAAGAACTCAACTAGGGCAGACTATGACGGAGAATTGACACAAAGGCCTATGTCTTCGGATCTCTTGCCCTGTAAGGCAAGGTTTTGTATTCACCGATGTTTGTTTGCAAACAAGCTCACTACCACCCCCTTTCGGCGGACCCCTGCGCGCTTCCGGTTTTCCTCTTCTTTTCCATTTGTCTCTCCACCTTTAGTTGTTTTCACTATTTTGTACAGTGCACTAATGTTCTTACAAACATACTACAGAAACCTCTTTGAAGGAAACTCTTCTTATCCGACCGCTGTGCGTTGCTGAAGAATGAATAAATACACTACCGGAAGTCTACCGGGGCACCAAATACTGTGGCGCCCTCGTGGTATCAACTCCCACCGAATAGAGGAGAGACGGCTTCAAGACGAGTAGCAAGGATTCGATTTTGAGAGAACTTGGCCAGAAAGGTGTTTTGAAAGAGTGCGTGAGTAGGGCACGCGCATCCTCAGCGGTCGGCATGAAGCAGTACCAAAGATAGCAAGTACCAACGATGCAGTTTCTTATTGTCCAATTTCATAACACAACCAAACAGAGAAATTATTCTATGTAGATCTTTTTTCAAAGGTGGGCAAAAATGAATGAAAGAAACGTTCTATGTCCAGTGAATGCTTCAAGGTCGCTCAATTAATTAAGCAAAGGCGAAGAACAGCACAGTAAAGCATTGGCCATATTTTTCCCAAAAACAACTTTGATATTACCCCATCCAAAAAGGCAAGTAGACTAAGTAGAGTGGAGGTGAGTAGCAAGTACTACTTCATAATACCCCAGATGTATCCTACCTAGCTACATTGGCTCTACATAGGAACTGGAAAGGCTGCAATTAAATACACCACTCTCAGAGTGGCATTAAGGCAAAAATATAACACTTTGTCAGGAGCACTATAGCACCACCGTTATTCGACGTGTACCTCCACTTAAAGGACACATGCAAAGGAAAAAAACATTTTTTTATAGATGGGAAAAGGATGTTATAAAACAATTTTACAATGAAGAAAAAAATTTTAGAGCTCTATTTAAAGCGCTATACAAATTTGTATTTGGCGCCCACGGGCGCCGAGAAAAAGTGGCCCTTATTTATCACGTGACTGGCCCTTATTCATCACGTGGTGTTTGCGCTCTTTCGGAAGCTTCCTATGGCGTCTAAAAGTAACTTATTCATCTTCGTTTGAAGTATAACAAAAAAAACTAAGATTAATAAGTAACTTTTAGAGCCCAAAGGAAACTCCTGAAAAAGCGCAAGCAGACGTGATAGACCTGTGCGCCGGTCAGATGACGGCGGCGGCGCCTCGAAGCAGTCGAACTTGTGCGGCGGCGGGGACGGCGGCGAGGAGAAACGCGTTGAAGCGGCATTCGCACAACGCTCAGCGTGCAGCAGCGGCGTGACTTTGCGGCGGCAGGGCGCGGGCCTACCACGTGACCAGCGGCGGCTCCCGCGGGCGCCAATTACAAAATCGTTTTGTGCCGTAAAAATAGCTCTAAATTTCTTTTTTTGTAAATTTGTTTTATAATATTCTTTTTTCATCTAGCCTGTCTCAAAAAAAAAGTTTTTTTCCTTTGCATGTGTCTTTTAAGAATTAAGTGCAATTAATTAAGAATTAAGTGCAATTAAGCAACCGGCAATGATAAAACGAAACAGCCAAATTCGTAAACAATGTCAATGGTCTTAAACCAAAACCTGCAACCTGGAGCAGAAAAAAAATCACTATCACCGAGTTTGAATTATTAAACAGGACGAGAAAATTGCTTGATACCGATGTTTCCTATTTTTCAAGTGCACCAGCTTATTCATGCACAAGAAGCCTAATGGAAACTCAAAATGTCAGTGAAGAAAGCGTCTGGATCAGCCAAAGCAAAAAGCAGGTGAAAAAAAGAATCTCTTCTACTCACCGGCTCTGCAAACGCATTGTCCCACGTGACGGTTGCCCAGGCATGCGGTTCTTGGTTGCCATGGACGATGACGACGACTGGCAATGACAGCGTCTGCAAGAAAGATTATTGAATGCCTTCATCCTGCACCATGTATCCTCCGGCATTGTCTATATCCAAGTTGGTTATAATTACGGTTGCATGTTTTCGGATAAACCCGAAAACATGCAACCATAATTTAAAAAAAAAATAATCCGAAAAACACTTGCCGGAAAAATTTCGGCAATTCGGATTTATAAAAAAAAAACTCAAAATTTCAATCACAATAAATAAATAAATAAAAAAAAAAAGCTTTTAGGATTAAAGCTTGTCAGGGCAAAGGGCTAGTGGTCCTGAGATAAAGTCTGGCATCGTCTATATCCCAGTTGGTCCTGAGAAAAGGCCAATTCAGTCTCTCTTTTTTTTTCTTGGACGATTGACTAAAGAAAGTTTCCTGTTAATCTTGTAGAGGCTCGTTCAGTGCAATGGGCCGATGCAGTTCCGAGTCTATTTTCGTGTAATTAACTTTTTTTAATATTGTGCTTAAGGGCATGCTTTCAATTAGAAAATTGCTCAGCATCATCGAAAACCACTAAATCAACAAATTGCAGAACAATAGGAGGCACGTGCAGCATTTTACGACTTTCTGAAAAACTGCACAAATTCAATGGGTTTTTAAGTTTCGGCTTGCAATCGGAACACATCTCGGCCCCGACGGCACTGCGCCCCGTGGAGAAATAGTGCAACCCAGCCTCTGCTTCGCTGTCCTCACGCAACGCAGCAGAGGGTGAATGCACTATTTCTCCACGGGGCGCGGTGTCGTCGGAGCCGAGATGCGCTCCGATAGCAAACCGAAACTTAAAAACCCATTGAATTTGTGCAGTTTTTCAGAAAACTAAAATGCTGCGTGTGCCTTCTATCGTTCTGCAATTTGTTGATTTAGTGTTTTTCCATGATGCCCAGCCAGATTCTAATTGAAAGCATGCCCTTAAACACAATATTAAAAAAGTTAATTACGCGAAAATAATTAACAATCTAATTATCCTGGACTTTAATAATTTTCCTATAATAATTTTCCTTTAATAATTTTTTTGTTGCAATCCATAGTTTTCAAAATATTGAATTTGTCCACCTTTCATGAAACACTCTGTGTGTATGTATATATATATATATATATATATATATATATATATATATATATATATATATATATATATATATATATATATATATATATAAGTACAATTTGAATATAAAAAGGCATCATAAAAAACAACTGGGAAAATCAAAGCACCAACCATCAAAACAAAAGCTGGAGAACTATTTAAAACACCATCTGGAAAATTTGTCAAGAACTCATCTTTAGGCAGTTTATTCCACTCAATAGTTCTCGGCAAAAATAAAAAGGCAAATACATCAGCGTGACAGGAGTATGGTCAGACTTCTTTTTGCAATTCGCTGTTCCCAAAAAAAAAAAAAAATTTATCTAAAAAAAAAAAAATGAGCCATTGGAAGCAAGGCTATCTGATAATAATGAAAAAAATTGGCTGCATGTTTGGTCACTCTGTTAAACGCAATTAAATGCAGTAGCTTTATGGGCGGGTGGTGCGTTCAGTTTGGGAAATGCCTAAGGCAGGATGACCCTTAGTCTTTCAGTGCCTATTGTGTGTGGTGCTCTTAGTACAGGTGGTGCCTATGACAGGGTTTGGTATGAAAACACATTATGTCACACCATTGTCTCTTTGTAACGCTGCACACGTTTCCCTTCAGCACCGCACAGATACAAATCCCTTACAGTGAATTTTCTGGGTCACCAAGAGAGGGGAAGCGCGCCTTCCTGCTGTTTCCACTTCTTGCTCCACATTCTTTCCACACCACCTCTTTATGCTCCTCTTTCTTGCCCTTTCCATTCCTTTCCACTCAGCATGCTTTCTCACACAACCTAGTTCTGCTCCTCCCATTCCTGCGTGCTGGGTCTGTAGCTCAGTCAGCAGTGCACTCGGCTTAAACACAGGTGACTGGGGTTCAGTCCTTAATACCGGTTGCCGTTTTTTTTTTTTTTTTTCCAAGATTGTTTAGCGTTTACGGACTGACCGATCTACAGATTTCGTGCTTACGTGACTCCTGAGGTTTGTTGGCCCCGCCAACAAAGATACCACTTTCAAAAATAAACTTTGCTACAAGGAACAACAAACGGTAATTCAAACTGAAGACGGCACTCACCCAAACTTGAAAAACAAGTTCCCCACCGCCAACCTTGAATTGCGATTGAAACAAGAGGGAAAACTTCTCGTCCATCACAGACTGCAAGAACCAGGCATTCATTGTCAGGAAAACAGAACCTCAGTCACGAGCAGTATTGCTATACTCCGTTTCACCTTCCGTCCGAGCGCAGTGGACGCCACGAGCCATCCCAGCCGATCCAGCGCCGGGAGAAAGTCGCGTGACCTGCCGGTGGGGCGGGGCGACACAGGGAGCTCAAGGTCGCATGACACTCCCTCAACGCCGCAATGGCTGGGATGGCTCCTAGCGTCCGCTGTGCTCGGACGGAAGGTGAAACGGAGTATACCAGCAATGGACAAGAACCGAACTACAAAGGGGCGTAATTACCTCCGTTCCTTTCTTCTCAGCTCGCTTGATCTTCCGTAATTGCTGTCAATGCAAGGCGAGAGAAAAAGTAAGTCAACGAGATCACCACCAAAGTAAACATCAAAATTTTAGGCACGACAGGAAATCCCATTTCTACCGTTAGAGTACCGCTTCCAATTGTGCTTTGACTGAATGGTTACACAAGTGCGACAAAACTGGTAACTAAGGGGAAGCATGGTTGTGGTGGAGCTGGGGCAACTGAAAACATGCACGGCCATTTCTAAACCGTCAAAAGATTCAAATGGACAATCTTGACATAGATAGAGTCCTTACCATGTTCCTAAAGCTGACACTAAGTTGCCTCGTGGCCTGGTGATACTCCATTGTTCCTGTGTTGTTCAGAATGTCTCCGCTCGCCTCCCTGAGAAAGATACCGCAGCAATTGTTTTGCTGTGTCCGACACCGCAAAGGTATTGGACGAACCCAAAATGGAAGGGCATCAAGGTACAACGTTCTATCGAAATAGCCTGAAGGGCTCGTTCAAATGCTCTAGAATACAAAACTTCTACTGTAACATCCTGAACGTACGCCCACCCTCAAAGTTTGGCCCATCCCCCTTTTCTGTCAAAATATCTATGTCAAAGAAAATCCTGACATATCACCCACCCTCCAAAACTAGCAATTCCGAAGAGCTGGGGACACCTGGGCAGACCTTTCTTTAAGTGTTAAGATGCACATATGTTTGCAGCAAACAAGAAAGTTGCACAAGAGCCTGCTCCTTGTGACTGACAAGGCTCCCGACCTGGCCCGACACCAAAGTATTTTCCAATGCGATCGCAGGCTTTAGCACTTCTCCAGCATTGCCCTTCGTCGCTTCTTTTGCTCGCTTGCTGGTTGCACCTGGTTGGCTTTTCTATTTTTTTGTTGACTATTTTTACTCCATCTATTTTTTTTTTTAATTTACAGATCAGGAAAAGAAAACTGCTATGTTCGCTAACCAAGGGAACAAAGCGTTTCTAGAAACATGCTTTCACGGAACAAGCGTTTGTGCTGTATGCCGACTGGCAATGTTCATCGCATGTATGCAAACGACGAACTTCGCGAAAATAGAACGCTTTTTCAAAAAGGCGGGTAGCAGATCCTGAAGATTGGCCCACCCGCCTTTTTTCCCCAATTACCTCCCGTGAAAAGGTGGGCGTTCGTTCAGGATATTACGGTAATTGTGGATATTTGTTTGACATTTCGCCCGATTTGGACGCAAGAACTAACGCATAATAGTAATAATTAGAAAGAGGTAGCGAATACTCACCCAACCCCAACTTTATCACTCTTGAGAAGAGAATTCGCCTGGGCCTCACTATGCAGAAAATAAAGAAAGGGTCTGTGAGGCAAGTAACTACTGCAGATTTTAAAAAGAGCAAAACATGACTCTCCAGCTACACCTCACATCATGTCTTTACAACTCAAAATGTCGAGCAATTCAAACTCACAAACATTACAGTTAAAACTCTACCTAATGAAGCTGAGGGGAAACACGAAATACTGCAAACGCTGTTATTTTTGTGGCTCCTACCTTCTGGAAATCGTTGATAGGGACAGAATTGCGCCCACTAAATCTCGCGAATTCCAGACACCCGCATTGAAACCCTTTAAGACCGAAATTTTCCCGTGCCCTTAAATTTTTCAATTTGCGAAAATTTAGCGCTGGCAAACATTAAGGGCTTTACAACACTTCGCTAAATCAAAAACTTTGTTCGATACAAAATTAAATTTCTATCGATTAAATTTGATAAACCTAATTTTAATGTAACGGCATTCGGAAAGCTAACGCGATAACCGCATTCCCAAAGCGCTCATGTTCCAAAAACGTGATTTGCACGCATATGAATTTAGCATCTAAAGACGACCCGCACCTCTAGTGCGTGAGGGAAACCCTGGAACTCTTGAGGACAGAATTGAGGTCTTTTTTTCCGACACCACAATCTATAACCTTCTATCAACAAACTGTGAGAGCCAGCTGAGGCTCACATTGAAGTCCACATGCCCCACCAGAGAGGAAGATAGTGTGAAAAGAGCACACCACTCTGTCATCTCTTTCTGATGCTTAGCACCCAACATGCACTCGTAATCTGTCATGTGTTGGTTGTGCATGCACATTTGAAGATCATGAGACACTGAAGTGCCAAGTAAAGAGCTCGCACTGGAGGTGCGATGACTGAAAGAACTTTCTGTCATTCTTGTCTTGGCAACATCCTGCCATTCATATTCGCCGCACATGTCGCTAGGCCTAACGGGAGGGCGAACCACCAACAAGCTACCGAACTGATTGACCGGCGAATACCATTAGTGCCGTCTTTCACATATGGCACGAAGGAAATATCATAAAAAAGCTAGCACCATCTAGTATGATTGACCGAAAATCTGGAGTGCTGAGCTCGTTTTTATGTAAAAACAAAACTAGGGCAGGGGTGGAACTCATGAAATGTACTTGGGAGCAGCCACGGGAGCAGCTGAAACAGCTGTTTTGGAGCAGGTTGGGAGCAGCTAAAACTACGTTCTGGAGCAGGCTAGGAGCAGCTCAGATCAGTTTTCATTGCACTTCAGCTTGCGTCTTAGACAAGCACGGGAGCAATTTCAATCGTACTTAGCAGAACAGATGAACATGAATGGTTAGGGACCTAGGTAGATGGGATAACAGTGTAACAGATGCGAAAACTTGAAACTTTGTGAGCCTTAATGAGAATCAAAAAGCCAGTAGCCTGTCTCTCAAGATAGCGTCCTTGATATTTTCCGAGCGGCTTTCAGCTGCTCAAAATGCAAACCAGCACTGCTTATCGCACAACCCACACGTGCTCGACATAGTAATTATATGTGCGAACCCCGTGACGTGCACAAGCAATGGACGTGCAGTTGCACGGAGGAACAGGGCAACAAATTTCGCGTTTATCTTATTGTGCAACTCGATTACGAAGCAGCAGACTACGATTAACGAAGTTATCGTATTTGAAGCGATAAGCAGGAGCAAGGTTAAAGTACGCCGAGCAGATCTATCACTCGCAAAAGAGCTGCTGGCCGGCAAGGTTTCGGATCGGACCGCGTTTCAGTTCAATCAAATCACGATTTATCTTGCGAGAATACGGTTCCAACTTCTAACGATGAAGTACTAAAAGGATTATCTTGCTCATTTGTTTTCAACTGGCTGACGTCCGGATCCCGGGCCGCAGAGCCTCAGGCAATCTGACGCTTAACGACTCGACCTCACCTCAGCCGACTTGCTTAACCGCTTATGGTTGAAGAATAACAATCCAGTCGCAGGTGGTGTGGCGCTTAGAATCCGAGTTTTTTCGCGCGCTTCCGACTCGGGATACACAGGGAGAATAAACAGAACAAAGGATTGCAAGGCCGACCAGGCTGAACGCGCTCATTGTTGCGAATCGAGTCAATAAAACCGAAACCAAGACAAAATAAAAAGTTTCTTGGCGCACGCTTTGCGATCTGGCGCATAATGGCGCAAGGTATTGGCTGTTGCGCAGTTCCTGCAACATGGCGCAGGATGGCGCAGACATATGCGTCTGGCGCAAAATGGCGCAAATGGCGCAGCCGTTCCACCCCTGCTAGGGTTGTGCACCTTAATGCTGGCACGCCAGCAACCAGCTGAGGCATTCTAAACAAACTACGCTTAAAATTACCCCTTTTCGCACTTATACTTTTTTTCCCCAAGAATGTGCAGTTAAATAAGGTTGACAAACAAATTTATTTTGGTATTTTGAGTTCACAAAAACATGCAGCCCTATGAAAATCTGTGGGGGAATAAAAAATGCTTCGGTAATTTGGGAACTTCGTAAAATCGGGTTTCGTAAATTCGAGTTTCAACTGTATTTGCACTCGGCTCCTTGCAGTTCGAAACCCTGCAGCTTTGCTGCCTTTCAACCTGAAATTTCCAATTCGAGGCAACTATACTTGTGGGCAACTTTCTGTGGCTATGCAGTCAAGGTATGGGATTGCAAACCGCACGCTTGGGTGCCGAATAAAGTTGGGAGCGGGCTCTCCTCCTCTCTCAAAATCAACATACACCCAAGTAGGCAAGGCATTCTGCCAGACCCCCCAGGTACTTTTGAGAGCCAACCGGGCACACAAGGGCGTTTTGAATAGAATTAAAGAACACACAGCACGGTTTTACTGTCTCAGCTCATTATTTGATTAGTCACGAATCCTTCCATGAAATAATAACAAAGGATTCCAAGTACATACTTTACGCATCTAGATTGCAACTCCGGCGGCTTGGGCGAGAACCTTGGTACCCTTCGCCGGCTGTTGGCGGTTAATATCCACACAGCTTCGTTGGTGTACTAAACGCTTGTAACAACAGCGTGTCCATCTGCTTGCTGTCATTCATTTTCTCCCCGTCAAGTGCTACCGCTGGCGAAAATGGCGCGAATGCTGTCATAACTAGCAACCAAAGCAGCGCCGTAAGAATCGAAACCCGAATACGGCTGCCGATCGATCGAGCTTTGCCCTCACTTTAGCTGTCAACATCGGAGCAGTACGTTTGCTTATGGCTTTTCAAGCGTTTCCAAAGTAGACACGTGATTATGGGCCACTCTCGGTAACTTTGGTAAGCTCTTTGAGGCATTGTTTGGATGGATGAAAGCACCGAATGCAAGAGTGCGCAAGAGTAACTCTAGACTAGGACATATGAGGGAGTATAGTAGCGGTAGTAGTAAATGAACGAATCTAGCATTTCTTTGTTTCTTCCTTTGCATTGGTTCAGCTCTGGTTGCTTTATCAAGTTTTTCAAAACGCTTTGGCAGCTTTGGTTTCGTGTTCCGCCTCAAGCCCGTGCCATCCCATTTCGCCATTTTTCCTGTTCCGTGTAGGCTCGGTTCGTTCTGCGATGGTGTTGCCGAAGTGACGCCATCACAGAACTTGTTGTTCTTAAACTATTGCTTGGTTTTTTTGTGTGTGTACGTGCTTAAAAGTGGTAAGTTCATATTGTATGTTTTCCAGGGTAATACTGCTTTTTCTCTCGCGGTTTCTTTAACACATATCAATGAGCTTCTAATATATATGGCCCACATTAGTTCTCGAAACTGCTCCACTGTTCCAAGACACAAGGACAACTAACCTCTCGAAGACGAATATTATTAGGTCTCCGCCGAGAACACAAATGCTACAAGGAGGAGCATTGGAGTAACGTGCCTGATGATGGACACCTTGACCTGGGGCGGAGTCATGTGGACGTTGAGCTTGCCCCCGACCAGAAGACGCACCGTGGCCGTGAATCGCGTGTTGGTCTTCATGACTTGCGGCGGCTGCTTCTCAATGATGAACGTGCTGCGGCAAGGAGAGCCCACCTCTTCAGGAGTGCGCACTGCCTTTTCTCAAATTCTTTTTTTTTTTTGAAAATGGTAATTTTAAATAAGCAACAGGTGGTAGGGGAAGAATGGTAATCGATTGACCCAGATTTCCAATATTCACAAATTACACAGGCACTCCCTCAGAAACACTGAACATACATCATACATTTTCCCGGGTTTCACTTGACGCTTCTGTATTCCATTCAGTCGGACGATTTAATAAAAAGTGTTGGCTGCATCCCTCCCACGACAGGGAGGTGTCATCAAACTTGATTAGAAAGTTTTGAATCAAATAATGAGTGTAATTACTAGCTTCTTCAATGCAAGGGTACACAAAATACAGTGGACCCTCTTTCTGTTAAAGAGAGACCTTGGATTCATTCCACACCACCCCTAACAGAGATACATGCCCAAAACGTTATCTAGTCTCCACATGCAGGATAACAACTGAGAATAAATACCAACCAACACAACTAAGAAAAAGTGTCTAATTTAATTTTCCTGCACTGGTACGCAATCTTCTCTCGAGGACAATGTGCCATCACCAGCAACAGGGACCGGATGGCAACAGCAGCGCTTGACAAAGTCCAGCTACATTATCTAGCGAGCGCTAGAGATAACGAACAGAGTCTGGGGCACACGTGTGGTGGCATTTCAATTGATTTCCGGAATTGCTTCAATGGATTGATCCAAACAAAATTTCCTCGCTCTTCGCACGGAAGAAAACACTGCATGAAAGAGCGAGAGGTTACCTGGTGACCAGGGAGGAGAGGAGGTTGGTGACCTGTGCATTGAGGGCCGTGAAGCGCTCCCCAATGCTGCTGGCCGAACCAATGGGCACTTGTGCGGCGAGATGCTCCACCCGCTTGATCTGCTGGCGGTTCTGCCAGATGATCTCCGAGAGGGCTTCGCACCTGGGCATTGTGGCATGCGCACCAAGCATGTGAGCAGCACTTCACTCTATACTACGGGAAGACCAATGTCCAAAGGCACCACGTGGCCGGGACAGAAAGAAGCGTGAAAGTATCTTCCTGATGCGTGCCACCTTTTATATGAAATGTTCTTTTTTTTTTCTTTTTTTTCCCCACCATTGGTGTAAACTACTGGGCGATGAACACTGATCTATGCAAGTCGTTCTCTGGGGACGTAAGAGCAGAAAATCAAGCCTCCTGCAAGAAGCAACGAGTATCTCCAGTTCTTTTGACGCACTATTCCCGTGTATGTGGCATACTATTTGCAAACCCAAAGGAGGCGATGCCATCGCAAGCAACGTGCGGAGTAAAGAAAGGGCAAACCTGCGAATTCCATAACATGCAGTAAGAACTGGCGCAATTACCCGCATCATAATTTATCAAAATTCCGATGTGGGTAATGCGCGAAAGAACATGGTAAATAGGAATGCACACACTGGGGTGTGTTTGGCACATAGCTGTGCATCAATGCTCAGCTCGGACACGTTAAAATACTGCTTAAGCTGGGAAAGCACCTCACTCAAGTTAAGGACATTGTCCTAGGTCTGGTGCTAAAGGAATCCTGAGTTCCAGAGAAACTATACTTGTTTTCACCTCAAGAATCGTAGTAAAAAAAGTTCGGCTTCTCGCGGGGCATTACTAATTTCCCTCTTTATGCTGAGAATTGAGGTATATGTAGGTGCATTTCATATTAGATACATGTTACCCTATGAAGACGTACACGTTTCAAACGCCAAAAGCATCGCTCCTGCGCCTGACGACCAAATTTTGTGAGAACCATTTCGCGCGGCGCAGGAACATGGAGCAAAACTTCCTTTTTTCTTGAGGTGAAAACGGGTATAGTTTGAGAACCTAGGCTCCGTAATAAAGTCCACTTCTTTCTGAGAAAACAGTTTATTATAACGAGTGACTGACTGTGGACATTCAATGCTTCACTGGCGAGCAACGCCCGTGCCAGCGCTACAAATGTACTTCAACATTGCTTCACTACATGAGCCTTTGATACAGAGAGATACTACCCCACGATCGAACTACAGGACGTCCTTGAAGGAAAAAGGGACAAGGCATCCTCTCACCGCTCCCGTATCTCCAGGTCACTGTCGAAGGACGTGTCTCGCTGATGCGCCCTGCCCGCCCCCGCTATGCCTTTTCTTACATCAGGCTTTCCTACAGAGAGGTTCCACCGTACGACCGGCTTACGAGGGGCCCTTAACAGGTCCTCACCACTCCTGTATCTGGTCCAGGTTGTTGTCGAAGGGGGTGCCGTTGCCCCCCAGCTGTTGGGCCCGCTTCCACTTGATCAGCTCGTCGTCCAGCACCCGGGTCTGCAGGGCCCCCAGCTGCAGGGACGTCTCCTGCTGCTTGTCCGCAAAGGCCAGCCGCATATCCCTCAGCTCGTTCACCCGCTGCCTAATGGCCTGCTCCATGGCCTTGGTCTCAGTGTGCATCTTGCCCAAGAGCTCCACGTTGGCCTGCCCATTGGGCTGCGTCGACAGCTGCTGGTAGTGCGCTGGGGGAGAGCGACAAACATTTTGCTGTTACGCCTTTAAACCAGGGCAGGGGGCCAAAGAATATATTGTAGGTTAAAAGTAACCATAATTGTAACATGTGTCATACAAGGGCCAATGAGGCCATGCAATAAAATCACCTGCTCTCTTCAGGCATTTTTTCGGTGCGTGTTCTTGTACGAAATTGCCAAAACATTTTTTAAAAGCCATCTAATGGTTCACAAACCAGAGGGTATTTTTGTCACTTTTTAAGCGCACCCTGAAAGCCAAATTGAAAAAGCCCTTCCTGCAAGGCTAGACTCACCCTGCAACTTTTGGCACTCCTGGTACTGAATCACAAAGGACTCCTGAACCTGGATCATGCGTCTTAGCTCCTCCTCAGTCTCCTGCACAGGGGAGAGAGAACCGGCCAGCGGGAAGTGTTGAGAGAAAAACCACCAATGCAACGCAACAATGATCTCTGTGCTAGTACAAGAAAGCTTGGGAGTACAATTTGGCTGGATGTGTGGCACCAATACACTGCTTTAATTGCTGTTTGTCGCTGTACCACCACACTACAGCAGTCCCTCATTATAACGAAATCGCTTTATTCTAAGTTGATTGCGGTCCCAATCGAAATGCATGCATTTTAAACTGGGTTATTTTAAGTGTATCGGCTGCTGATCGCGCTCATTACGAAGGCTGAGGTGCCGAAAGCCCGCAAACCTACACAGAGGAGCACGGGATATCCTCGCATTCCCTCTCCCTTCTCCAGCGAAGCAAACGGCAGACAGAAAACACAGCAAACCAGTGACGGAGCGCAGAATACCGCTCGTGATGCCGACGCACTGACGCGGCCAGGGAGTGGCGTCCGCGTTCCGACACTATGCATGGCACCTGCAGCCCGACTCCCGTCGAAATCGGGTCGAGGGAGCGAAGGAGGCCCGGGGAGCTCGAAGATCACCTCTTCTGGGGCCCCCGACGCACTCGTATATGGCGCACAAGTGCGTCGTACGGGAGTTTTTACCAAAAACGCTTCGATCTACGACGTTAAAAGAAGTGGCCGGACCAAGTACGAAACTGCCAGGGTACTATTCGATCAGCCGGCATCGACTGTTCAACACTGCCAACCATTCTGCAGAAGATGCGAGACATACCGGATAGGTTCGAGAAGAGCTTCTCACCCGAGAGAAAGCGTGCTCGTGATGTGAAGATTCAGGACTGCCAACTCCTTTACGCGTATCAGATTCTCTCGCACGCGCGTGCTGGCTGAGCCAGCGCATGGTTCTTAGAGCTGCGACCATTTCCATGAGATTGTGTGTGAACACGTCGGTGAAGCCATCGAGCGTAGCTTAAGAGTCGTTTGCGCTTGTCGATAAGGACATCCTTGTTGTTGCTGCAATTGTAGACCTTGTGTGCCACCAAGGTAAAAAAGACGAAAAGACGTCGGAGAGGCACCTCGAGAAATACCGACGACTACAAAGACAAGACATCCTACCGCTGCTTCAGAAAAAGGTGGAGTGCAGCAGCGGCGACAGTGCTCTTGCGATGCCTGAAGCAACTCGAGGAGGACTGATGCCCAAAACAAAAATTACTAAAAAAACTCCACCTTTTTTTTCTTCTCTCTTTTTACGCTTTAGTAAAGTTGTTGCAAGTTGCTCATCATTAAGGTTTGCTTGATTAAATATGTGTTTCAAGTCTTCTCCAGTGTACCCGCCCACCTTCGAGACTGCTCTCACTTTATGTGACTCGTTCTTATCGGATTACCGCTTAGAATTAATCTTCTTGCTGTCCTGTTGACTTCGTTATAAAGAAAGAATATTGTATGTTTTTAATGCTCCACTCTCGTATGAATCTTCTAATGTATCGAGAATATGAATAAATAAATTGATAATTAAACACAAGACGCAGCCAAGTCAGGAGAACCAATCACCCAATAAAACCACATCCAAGAGTGACAAGACAGAAATGTGGAAGGCAAACCTAAATTTAAGCACAGCATAGATTAAGGACTGAAAAAGATTAAACATGACCATTACATACACAATTCGTCTTTTTATGCTGGCGGTCTTAAAGAACACTGGAAAACTCCTGATGTTCATGAGCCTCTAATTTTCGCAACTTTTGCGACTAGAAAACTTTGCGTACTTTAGGGGACGCAAATATTTCTACTGTCTAAAGGGGCAAACACCGGCCTTCAGAATTCGCGAAATTTAATAGACGCATATATGACCCCGCTACCCAAGTCATGAAAAATTTTGACCGTAAAAATAAAGGGTTTTACAGTAGCAGTCACTTATTTTAAACTACAGGTATCTTCAAAGCAAAGCGGTACTGTAGAAGCCTTCCATGTAAAAGCTTGTCACAAAAAAACTTTACTACATTAATATTTTCTGTCGCTGTTAAAGAACTTCAGTGTACCAGACCATTTTCTTAACCATACCAACAAGAGATTGGTGGAGTTCTATTGCTAATACTCCTTAGCTCAACCAATTTCGCACGCTTGTAATTGATAGATATAGTGCTGGGAAGGTTATTACAGCTGAAATTAACTCCACTGGTCTTCACTATTCAAATTATCTTAGCCATAAAGTATGTCAATCTTCAAAAGGGCCGGCGGCGCTTGTTGCCAGACGGCGACTCCGAAGGACGAAGTGATCTCGCCCGTGGATAGAAACAGCTGAGCATATGTAGAGAACGGCAAGAAAATTGAGAGAAATAGACAAATGCCAAATTAACAATTGTGTTATTATTCAATTTCTTGTTTCTCCTTCTCTATGTATCTGCTGCACTCCAATTCAAAACTTTAAAAATGCAAATTTTTTTTCTTTTTTTTTTAAGCAATGTGTATAGTTTGGCTGATTATATTCACAAGCATGACCGAACTAGCTCAGTCCCAACTTGTCACACCTGCCCCTCTGTGCCAGGCATGAGCAAGCGGAGCCCAGTACCTGTGTTCGCCGCCTCAACTTTTCCAGTTGCTGAGTGATCTCTGTGTGGGGATCATGGGGTCCAGCCATGTGGGCTGCAAGCCTGTGGCAAGGCTGCGAGGAAAAAATAGGCACAATGAGCAAACTTTGACTCTTTAACGGTTAGAGATGCTTTGCACAGGCTATCCAATGCAGTTAATCTTTCAGTCAAGGATGATGCCGACGGGAAGAACAAAGGTGGAGAAGGAACAAAAATTGAGAGCATCAGAAATGGTCGGATTTCAATAATATGGTAACAAGGATGTAGGCTTGGCTGTAGCAGACGCCATCGCAAAATTAAATTACCGATAGCCAAAGCTATCGGCAAAATCTCTAAAACGGATTGTAAAACTAGGTAGAGTAAGAGGTAGCTGACAAAAGTGAGAATGTGACGAAAAAGTACAACACACGAAACCGTAAAGCAAAATTACTATATTATTAGTCGTTTAGCCACTGTCTGTACTGCCGATTCCTGTTACAGCTTCTGAATAGCGCTCACCACCCCCGAGCGAAGCCGCGAGGCCCCTGTTTTAGCACAACCAAAATTACTACTGGGTAAATATGCTACAAAACACTGGCAAAAGTAGAGGACTTCCCTCCAGCACAGTCGAACCACTTTCGAGAAAATAAAGCTGACATCAGCAAATCCAACAAACAAAAAAAATCAGTGTTTTACGCCGGGAAAATAGGAGACAGTCTATCACTACAGAGCTTGAAGGGTGTTTCTCACCGGTGCATTTACTGCCTTTTCATTTCATTCTCTCGATTTCCGCCTAAAACGTCACAAATGGAAAATGGATCCTCGTGATCCCGGTGCAGCTGCGGGGACATGGATATGGCAGACGTCCGTTATGCCGTAGCTCGCTCTACAACCGGCCAGAAGACAGGTGGCAGTTACGCCGGCCGCCACTCACGTTCTCGGCCTGCTGCACAATCCTCATCTCGGTGGCGAGGCAGTTCTTGATGACCCGGATGAGGGCACCGGGGTTGTGGCTGTAGTTCTGCTTGAAAGAGGAGCAGGCCTCAAGCAGCTTGAGCTTCATGACAAAGTTGTCCTCCGAGTTGGCCTTGGCCTGCAGCTCCTCCAGGAGGGAGGCCACCAGGTTGGGGGCGTACATCTCGAAGGCCGGGCTGTCCGGGTCCATCTCGCCCCAGGGCTTGTCTTCAATCCAGGGGGCCAGGGCGCACCGCACCTCGATCGGGAAGTGCTCGCCGTAGATGAGCTGGCACTGGCGCAGCAGGTCCCGGGGAAGCTCTTGAAGCCGCCCCCACAGCGCCATGGCGGGGCGCTCCCCTCGCGTGCCCGAAGCGACCCTCCTGCGATCCGCACAAGGATTCCGCCACGGTCAGGACTCCGGAAGAGACGGCACACTACCGCTGTAGACAATGTGCAAGTTTGCCCGCTCTCTGCGCACCTCGAGTGTTTGTTCACCCTCCAGATGCGCCCACTCACTTTGTGCCCCCCGATCCCAAACAACAAGGCATATTCTATGTGCGTTCCCTTTAGATTGGTGCACCCCTCTTTGTGCTCCGGTGCGCCAAAGATGTTTTTTGGAACACCCACTCTCCATATAGAAAGAAAAACAAAAGCACTATGCTCCACCAAGGTAACACTAGCATTCCAGCATTACATAAATCTTCAGAGCAACATTCACTGCTGCTCCTGTTGAAGTCGAAAACCAAGATGACTGCCATCGATACATAGAAAGGAAGCCGAACTCGCCACGCTCGTCCACGGTAATAGTAGCCACCCAGCATCGCATAAATAAGTAAAGCAACATTGACCACTGATCTTGAGTTGAAATGGAAAACCAGAATGATTGCTGCCATCATTGACTACTTATTTTCGCAGCTACTTTCTCACCAAGTTCCTTTACAGCTGTGTCTTGTCAACGTGTACTTGATTCAGTTGGATTCCCACAAAAAAAAAGGACTAATTTAGGATACCTCTTCCAAAGCAGCTAAGTTCCTAATTAAAGATATTAAAGTTACCATAATTAAATACAATTTTAGTAACCAAACACTTTCATAGCTACAAGGATATTTCAGTAACTGCACAGTTGTACTCCTAAAGCCACCGAATTCACTTAGTTACTTTTCGGAGTTGCAGACAAAGATACCCGCATTCACACTGACCTATTAGTTTCAACAGCAGCGTTAAATATTGTCATCATAACAAACTCAACTACGAGTATAGTACTAGATCACGGGGGAACTTAGCCAATCTCGGATGTGCACTGGAAACAAAATTTTTTTATCAGCAATCGCAAGACGCCTCAATGCCGAGGAACATCAAAAAGTAATTGGAACACTTACATTTTGTGTGTGTGTAACCTTACAAGCAGACACGTTTCTAAAAAAAGTAACCGCATTCACAACCTACACCAAAATTGTTGTAACCTACTTCATAGTAACTGCAAGCTAACTACTTTTTAAGGGTTACTTCTACAACTTTCCCACTTTCCCACAGCCCGAATAAACAGCGTCCGGAAGTCCAGACAATGAGGTTGTATCATGGACAGCTTTTTCCGAGAAAACAGTTCACAACAACAGGGCATGACTGTACTGCAGCAGCTGTGCATGCATTTCAATCATACTTACATCCCGAGGGGAAACGGTTGCGTGACGCTTCAATCTGTATGGATTTTAGCCTGAATATAAAAAAGGAAACTGCAAAGCTTTTCACTTATATGCCATTGTTAAAAAAAATGTCTTCTTTTGTGAAGCTATAGACCGACACGCTGTTTACAAACAAGCCGGCGTTTGCCCACACCAGGTGTGGGCACTGCGCGTGCGCAGGAACCGAATTCGCGTGAAGGGAAGCGTCTGCGAATGCGCAGTGCCGTCGACAGCGCCACCGCAGCTGCGTGACGTCAGGGACGCGTGTTGGTCAATACCCTTACCTTTTAAATTTTCAAATATTTTTAGCTGTCTTATGTGGTAAAATCTTGAATTTTGTGAAAGATACAATGAGCTGGAAGCTTTTGTTAGGTCGACATCATTAAAGGGACTCATATACTTCAACATTTGAATAAAGAATGTTCTCACAGCATCAAAATTTGTAACTTAAAAGGGCAATAGAAAAAGTTTTGTACTGTAAGTAAACACTACTTAATATTGTTCGTTGACATTCGTAACACAAAAGACACGCATTAGTAGTCTTTTTCTCCACGCAATTGTCAATCGTGGAAGAAGAAATTTTTTTTTTTTAATAAAAATGAGCAGCATTCTTTTTTTTTAACACGCAGCCAGAACAAGCGACCGCGTGATCTGGAGCCGACTGTACGCCGCCAGCGTTAATTATATCCACGCACTGGGGTTTGCAAAGCACAGCGCACATGCTGCAGTTTCACACAGTCTGAAGGTTTGGCCGTTCCCGTCATTGCAGCGACTACTACCCGAATGCATGTCGTGGCATTGATTGTCATCAGCCCACATCGAATGCTCACGCAGTGCTCGGGTCCACTGTATGAGTTGCATTTCAATATTGTAACCGCGGGTATCGCAAAGCTGGATGACGAAATCCAGGGGATTGCATCGTTGACCATGCCAACAACGCGATCCCCACAACTGCATCATCAAGTTTAGCGAAGGAGACATTGAAAGAAAATGTCCGCCTTCATCCTTGAAATTGTGCGCCGACAAAGAAGCTGCTTGGTCAGTGGCATTGCGCGCTAGTATACTAGGGTTTCACTGGTGCCAGTAAGCTCGTATTCTCGACTCCAACTAACTATAGGTGGCGCCACTCATTTTCCAAGATGGCGGGTTTAGTGAGGGTCAGAGATGCGTGCCGCTGTTGAGCCTGTGTAGTGTGCTGGCTTAACTGAGCGACATAAATTATTTCTGGTAATACGAGGAAGCTAATATTTATGAGCGCAGGTCACCTCTTTAACCTGAAAACAAGAACGGTGTTTAGTGTATTAATTACGGAAGGATGCGCGTTTTAATTCTGGAGCAAAACCGAAACTTACCTCTATTTTGGATTTAATTTTTCGTTATAGGTCTTTATTTCGGATTCTTTCATGACTCAAGATGTGTCTCACATCGTAATTATTTACTTAGAAAAGTTGTTCGCGGAAACTTTATTTTGTGACATACTGTTCGATCCAGGCTGATATTTGTAGTTGTTGAAAAAATCAGTGCTGATATCTGTGCGTTCTCGCTGCCTTTTTCTCGCTCAGATAATTGTCATCGAAAATAATGACAATTATCCAAGCACAAGAATAAGAGAATAATTCCAATTTTTGCAATATGTCCACGAAACGCATAAACTAATAAACGCTGCTCTCACTGCAACAACCCAAAGACAGAATCCGAGTCAGACAGCTGAAGTGTGAGTGTGTGTGTTTTTATAGCACCGCGTGACCAAGGACTTCATATTACATTCAGCGTTTGACTGTCAGTCTATCTTGATAATGATGTCAGAGTTTTTCATATGCTAAAAAGAAAACAGAATTGTACCTTTCTGGAAAGACTATTATGGCTAAATAGCGTATTCTCGTGATCTTGGCATTAATTGGAGGCATACATTGCCGCGATTTGTATAAATAATAATAATATTAAAATTCACATATTTGAATAAGTAATTCTTCAAGCTCTAATATAATTTGTTGCTTATGATCTAATTTTAAAAGCGCGAAGAAATATGACAATGAAAACTGTGCTGATCATCATCACTGGTTCCAATTGCTGCATTTTAATTACCAATAAAATAAAAATAGTCTAAAATCAATGAAAACAATCTAGCTAATGTGAGAAATCCATGTAAAATTACATTAATTGTGGGTAAAGTATGCTGTGCTATCAAAGTCGTGACTTTTGACAATCAGCGAAACGTCCAAAGTCGCCGCCAATATACTTCGAGACCAAATGCCCAAAAGTAAAAAATAAAAAAACAAAAAAAAAAAAAAGAAGCTTTTTTTATAATTACTAGTTTTTTCATAACATTTATTTACTTTTGTATTTGCTCGCCGTCATTTTCCCAATCTCAGCCTTTCCAGTTCGAAGGAACGCCTACCTGCTTGCACGTCTGCTCACTGCAGTACGTTTTGTTGGCGTTGGAAGCCGGTGAAACAGTAGTGAGTCTTAATATTGCGTATACGAGCGAACTCAAGCTCTGTGTGTCTGCGTTAGCTTTGCGTGTTCCACACTGCACGTGCGCGGAGCCCGAAATTGCGGTCTTGGATGGCGCATGGCGATGAGGCGCACGCACAACGTGAGGCACGCAACTCTAACGCAAACCGCTTGCGTTTGCTTCTATGCGCAATACTAAAACTCTCCAGTAAGGTACAATCCCATACCGGCTGCAGCACTGCGTTGGGACAGTGAAGAGCGTTGTTTGCATTCGGAAATGACATTTTGCGAGCCATGATCGCGAGCAGTTCCACCGTGCCCGCTGAGCAGGAGAATCGGGGGACCCTCACTACAGCGCTTCCCGTTTCCGTCGTGGGAGGGCGAGCGTTGAGCTGGAGACGCGAATAATGTGACAGACATTCCGACTCAATATTGCTGCACAGTCCCTAAATTTTTGAGCTACCCAAACTAACACCATTTTCGAAATATAGCATCTCTAAGCTGAGAATAGCAATTTAGAAAAAGGCAAATGAAAGTGATGCCAAAAGCAAAAGTAAAATGTTCCAATAGTTTTCAGAAGCACGACATCACCGGCACACACGAGCGGGCTGTCTAAAAAACAGCATTTTTCACTTCTTTTCAGGTTGTTGAGCGACTGCTGAAGTAAACTTCCCCAGCATTTATGTCACATCACTGAACTCCTTGTAATCACTTAGGAACAAGTTCTATTTCCCAAACAGTAAATCTGGGCCTATATCTGGTGTCACTTTTTGAGTGTTTTTCAGTGTGAAAAAGCTGCGAGGACCAATACAAACAGCTCAGGGATGGAACTGGGCAAAGCAGCTTTGGAGCAATCTTGGGAGCGGAAAAAACTACAGTTGGGAGCAGGCTGGGAGCAGCAAAAACGAGAGATCTTGGAGCGAGTAGGGAGCAGCATACGGGTTTTAAGAATGTAAAAATAAAGGCTAAATGTCACCTTGTTCTTAAAACTAAAGAAAATATGGCTTGCAGGTAACTCCATGTGACCTTAACGGTAGTTTAAACAAACTTTTTAGCCGCAAGCGCGAGTCCTTGAAACCAATGAAAACACGTTTTTTTTCAGGTAAAAAAGAAAAGTAACTGTCTGAATAATTATTAGGTACCACAATTTCATATGGTTTTTATTTATTAAACAAGACTGCAGTCAGAATGAAATGAATGTCCATATAGAACTCGGTAAATCAGGAAGGCAGATTTTCACCCTATCCAACATTTCAAAATGCTGAACTTAAAAAGCATTATTATAGAAAATACTGTGTTTCTCACTGCCTGCTCATTGAAGCTTTCCAGTATTTATCAAAGGAGTAAAATTAAACAAATTTCATGTCAATGACCTGGCACACTTGAATACAATGGGCTTGAAACCTGTTTCCCTAAATGCTTCCAATTTTCCGAAGTCCCTCATATAATTGCCAAGGCTCTTGTTTTTGAGCCACGCCAAGAGGCACTCACAAACACTACACCTAAGCTTGTACACGACCGATCAGATGTTGCAATGACAGCACTCTAATCATGTAATTCTAAAACATGCTTTAAAAAAATGTTTAGCTCTAGAATGTACTAGGCCCCCTTAAACTGAAGAAATTGACAGCGACCTTTACCTCTAAGTTGGTGTGTCACGTGACGTATATTTTCCCGCTGAATTTTGTGGGGAAACTTAATGGTTCTATACGTCACGTGATGTCGATTTCCCCCACTAAATTTAGCCGAGAAACTAGATTGGTGTCCGAGTCACAAGACGTGAATTTCCCCTTCGAACTTTAGGTGGTAACTGAATTGGTGACGTCAATTTCCTAGCAAATTTAGCGGGGAAACTGAATTGATGTTTTGGCCACAAGTGGTGAAGTTTCTGCTAAATTTAGCGAGGAAACTGTGCGTGTATAGGTCACGTGACGCCCCTTTTTCCGCTAAATTTAGCCGAAAATTTACAGACCGAAAAAATGTTGGGATTGGGGATAGCAGTAAAAAGCATTTTTCCCTCTAAATTTAGCCGAAAATTTACAGACCGAAAAATGTTGGGATTGGGAATAGCGGTAAAAAGCATTTTTCACACTAAACTTAGCCAAAAATTTACAGACCGAAAAAATGTTGGGATAGCGGTAAAAATCATTTCATGCTTTAAAGGGGTACTCCACCGATTTTTTGAGCTACCTCAACTAACTATATTTTCTGACTCCCCGGCCTTTACTCTCTCCGGTATGCTATTTAGAATCGCGAAAATCATAATAGTTATTGCGAAATCGGCAAATGAAAATGATGCAAAAACCAACATTCAAATATACGCGCGCTTTTTAGGGCCGTGACGTCAGTGGCAGGCAGGCTTGCCAGTCGAGCAAGCAGCCAAAAAATAGAATATGCCAATCATTTGTTCCGTGCTGGAGCGCGGGTACTGCAGCGAGCTTCCCAAGCATTCATTTGACACCATGAAACTGCTTCGAATCAGCTTAAAACGAAATCTACAGCTCAAAGAGTGAACCCCTGCCTTCCACTGACGTCACTTTTTCATTGTTGCCAGTAGAGACTTCGAGCTTGAAAAACACAGTGAGGACCAAAACTGTAAATTCAATAACTTCGCGAAAAAACAATATTTTGACCTAATATTTGGGATACTATTTTCGCGATGTTTGTTGGTTAGTTTAGCAAAATTTCAAGCAAATCGGAGACAATGAAAAAATCGGTGGAGTAGCGCTTTAAAACGTAACCAAATGACCATCATTAGAAAAAAGTGCGCGACACTTCGTCGCTCACACATCTCGCAGCTTAAAATCCCAGTTTATATTTTTAGGACCTACAAACTAAGAATTGTTTTCGTGATTCACGTTATAGATCATTCGTTCACGATGGACTAGATGCATAAATACTACGACCTGGCTGTAGACGCCTTAGTAACGCCACCTCATGCATAGTGTGTGCTAATCCAGATGCAGCCATACCCCGTCTAAACCTACTGTTGAAATGAAGTGTGACTTCAACTGTCTTACTCGACCGGTACAAGCTAATGCTTTACTGGAATAAAAAAAAGGCACAATCCTAAGGAGAGATGTCACATCACGTGAAAGACGGGCGCCCGCAATAAACCACGACACGCTACATCGAAATTTGGACAGCAGGCGTTTCAAAAGAAATTCGTTCAAACGAACAGTATTTGGCAACGCAGGTGCCAAGTCAACCCTAAGTTCCGTCTGGAAACTTGATGAAACGGGAGCGGGTAAACAGACAGGATAACAAAAAATATTCATCGGCCTTGGCGCGAAAAAAAAAAAAAACAAAAGGGTTGAAAGAGCTACCAAACCCGCCAGCGTCCCGGCTCAAAAAACTACCCAAAGAGTTAAAACTGCCCAAGAGTTCTACCTATCACTACGGGAACGGTGATCATCGGTCAGCGAAAGCTGCACGAGCCTTGGCCGCCACTCCAGATAGATAAGGTGTCACACATCAAACACGCATGACACCGCCGCCTTTCGCATACACAAGATCACTCGCCGGCCGAAGCACCCGGCGAAAGCAGCTTTCAAAGGAGAACCGAGCAAAACAAGGTTAAAAAAAAAGACCAAAAAGAAAAGTCCCTCCCATCGTCGGGGTCTGATTACCAAAAGAAAGCACTTATTCAGCGAAACCCGCACCGCCAAAAACCACCAAAGGTAACAAAAAAAAAAAAAAAAAAAGCGAGGTAGAAGGAAAGGAAACGAACACGCTTTTTTAGATAAGGGGAGAAAGCGTGCGATGAAAAGAGGAAGAGAATAAAAGGAGACAGGACCAAAAAAAACAAAAAAAAAATGAACGCTCATCTCCAACACCCACGAGCACGCCAAGGAATAAAAGGCGCCGAATTCACCGAAGGGAACCAAGGGGGCCATCGGAAGGTGGTACAGCGACCAGTATTTAACCCTACCCAGCGCCTGTCAACAAGGGAGGAGGGGGGTTGGCGGCGGTCTTGCGCACAAGCGCGCCTCGAAATTCATCAGGCATAGTGTAAGCACGCACATTTTTCACGGCCACCCTCCCCCCGCGCCTGACAACAGTTTGTTTCGTTCGCGTGGATGACGCAGCGGATTGCGGGTACCGAGCGACGAGCACCCACACCGCGCGCAAGGTGTCACGAGAGAGTCGTCGATCGCTTCGAGGTGGAATGCAGAGCCACGCTACTTTCAGCCATTAGCTCGGCGACGACCAGCGCTGCCGAAAGGGTTGAAGGACGGCGCGATCGGCGACGACGCCGCGTACGAGGCTTACCTGAGTGGGAAAACGAGGCTTCGAGACGACGGGCGGCCAATCCGGGCCCGAGTTGATGCGCGTTTCGCGAGAAGACAGCGACGAAATTGCGTTAAAGGAACCCTTTTTTGTTGTCGCCTTTCACAGAAGCGGCACCTCGCTACGGAGGGACGATCGCCATTTCCCTACGGAGTCACGTGACCGAAGAAGCCAACTTCAGCGCAGTGGCGCGGGAGGAGCGGGAACTACCGAAATCCAAAAAACTCGCGCGCGTTCCTCTCCCAGGGTTGTTGGCGCCCGATTACACAGGGTGTGCTCACTTCAGACTAGGGGTGTCATGCAACAGAGATCAGTGGTGTCATGCCCTATTTCTTGTTTTCAATTAAATTTTCTTATGAGGTAGCAACATATGTCCCTTCAACGCAATGGACCTTAGTTTTGCAAAAACATTTTCTTGTTTTCGTAAGATGCGTCCGAGAAGCTGTGCGCGTAAACGCAAATTTTTAGGGCCACAGGAATAAAAGAAATACAATTTTCAACGTCGTAAATATCTTTACGGATAAAGCACACTAACTGGTTTACTCGAAGCAGTTAGGTATAGTTAATTTAAGTTTCTATTTCAAGTAAAATCAATTGACGAATTCGGCCTCTTGCGAAACGATGACATTTAGGCATTTTTCGGCGATTTTTTAACGCATCTTAGAATTAAGCTTTTAGGCTGAAACTTTTTGTACACTATTTTATAGAAAATATCGTAAGCGAGCTGGTGAATATTAACCATGTTGAATTAACCTGAGACTGGAGTAGAGAAGAAACGTCAAAGAAGGGACAGAAAAAAGACAGGAGACGTCGTCTTTTTTCTGTCCCTTCTACGTTTCGAAGTTTCCTCTCTGGGCCCCAGTCTCAGGTTAATTTAACTTGTTTAGTATTTCATGCTTCGTTAATGTTTAACAAAAAAAAAGAGATAGCGCTTTACCAATGTAAGTGGTTTTTGCATTGCGCCGGGAAGTCTTCGAAATATGAAATATATATATATATATATATATATATATATATATATATATATATATATGGGTGGTTTCATCTCAAATCGTGCAGGCAAAAAGGGTCGAATTTTTAATTTCGATGAAAAAAATATATGTTATGGCGCCGTTTCTTAAAACGCAGTCGCCACAAACCGCAAGTTCGTCGGATTTTTTTTTCTCGACTTCTGAATTTTTAAAGGGGCCGCGGCGAAAAGCAGTGTTTTTCACTCCCGTCGTGGGTCGGATGTTTCGCTTGATCTCCCGCCATGGATTTTCAGTCCACATTATATTATCTTTTTTCAGGCACTCTGTGGACACATTTAAAAGGCTCCAATACCATAAAATAATTTTAGGCCTTTTGCTTTTTTTCTGTAAAAATGTCAAAAACGCCCCCTCGATCAATTGTTGACGAACTTTGACAATTAATTACTGGCGATCTACTTGGGTTATATCAATATTTTTTATGTCCACGGAGAGCCCAAAACACGCTCCTTGTATGCATAATAAAACAACTCAGCTGTATAAATTATCCTTTGCGGTACGTTTACGTTAATGTTATGTGAAAACCAAAAAGTACCATTTTTGAAATTGATTTTCTCAAAAAACCCATTTTTTATTTTTTTTATTTTTTGTTAAAATGTAGATGTGATAGTTTTCTACACGAAAATCAAGTCGAGAAAGTGTATATTTTGTTTGTATGTTCTATATTTAAGCATCAATATCGTTAAAAAAAAACGTGTTTTCACGGCTCGAAATGGGACTTGCGAAAAGCGCGTCTTCACAAACTTGGAAGTATTTTTGCCTTTTCTAACCTTCCCACATAACACTCAAATATAGTAGTTCCACCCTGTTATATTTATTGATTATTTAAATTTTATTACACGCGGCAAGCTACACAGGAGGAGTTCAAAAGAGAAAGCAACACTTCTTAACAGACCAGCAGGTGTCGTAAATTTTTAACGTGTAGGAGTCGGCAGACGTCGTATTGATTCAGGGCCCTCATTGGCCTGCATGGACGTCCCGCCCTTTCGGAGCCAGCAGATGGTAACGACCTTTCGCGCTCGTTGTGTTAGATAGGACGGCCCGTGACAAAAAAGCGAGCAGCGCACCCTGTGTCACGAGGAGTGAAATAAATGGTACGAATGTTTCGTTGACGTGGCGAACAGTGACAGCCACCCAGGAGGAGTCAGTCCAAGTATTGCACAATGGAAAGCAAAGGAATCGTTGCCTCAAAGGATGAGGACACCACGGCCTTACAATATTAACGGTCAACAACTGTTCCCCAAGCCAAAACAACGCCGCGTGCGCGCTAAAACCGGCGGCGCGGGACACAAATCCCGCAGACACAAACACGAAGATGGGCCGGTTTCGTTAGGGATGTGGGGAAATTCGAAACCAGCCATCCGTGCATGCGTCAAACGATACCGCCTGTTTGCCCTAGCTTCGAGCGCCCTATCCTTACCTTGAAACGGCCGTGCTCTATCTCTCTCCGGGGAGATCCGATAGCACCGAAGGGTTATCTATTAAACTTGAGGAAGAAAACGAGAAGGGTCTGTTTAAGTTTAATTATCCCCACCAACCCGCTCGTTCTGTTCTTATAAAGGGTTATCTCTTTTGGAAACAGCAAAGCCCGGAGACTGACATTAAAACGAGCGTGTTGGTAAATATACTTGTGTTTGTATTCTGCCCGGAGACTAGTTGGGTCGAAGTCAGCCTCCTTGTCAACTATAACCGTTTGTGAAGAGTGGGCTTCTTCCGAGATGAAAAGTTAGCGCCGGTTGACGTGTTCTTTTGAAAAAGAGAAGGGGAAAGAGAAAGTTTGAGTAACTGCAGAAACTACCTCGAAAGCTCCTCTCCCGATATGAAGCTTGAGGCATAGTCTCGGTTACCTTCTCGCGCATCGCTGCTCGAATCTGTTCTTCGCTTTGTTTCGCACAGCCACTGTTCCGCACAGCCGTCGTGGATGTGCGTAATAGAGGGAGGAACAGATTCGAGCATCATCTGGACGCCGTCATCCTGCCAGACTTCAATGTCGTGGGACCGACTCGTGTGTGTTTCTTCGCCCCGCTGAACTTTGTTCCTCGGGTGCGGTTTTTTCTGAATGTTTTTTTTTTTTTTCAATGTTTTCTTACTAACTGTTTGTTAGCACTGTTCAGTTGTTGGGTTTATTTCGTCATGGCGTAGCGGCCTGGCGGTGATGTAGAGAGCGTGTTCGCACGCATTTGGTTGCGTCCCGTTTAGGGAATGCCCGGAGGAGTTGGTTTTTGCTCTTGCCATGTGCGGCTAAGTTTTCCCGTCTTTATTAAATTATTGTTGTTTTTTGTTGTTGTTGTTGTTTTTTTGTTTTGTTTTACTTTTACGTGTCGTCGACTTCTTTGTCTGACTCTCCACCAGGCGTGGACCTATCGCCTTGCCACCGCTCGAACCTAAATACTTTATTTTTTTAACGCAATTTTCGTTAAGATCGGAGTTGGGCAATTTAATTCCTATTCATTTATTTTTATTTCCTACCCCTCTCCGTGACACACTCTCTGTGTGTTTCGGACCGTTCCTGTGTCATCACTTTCGTGTATTACGGAAGTGAAAGGACATTCCCTGGTGACCTGTGCGACGTGCGGTGAACAAACCCCAGTGTTTGGTTTCGGAAAGAATTGTGTATAATATATCGACGATGTGGCGACTTTCTTTGTCTTAGTAATATGACAGCTAATAGCTAGTCGTGCTAGTTTACTGTGAAAGGTTTATAAATCGAAACAATACAACTTCTGTGCCTTTTGGTTATTGAAAGTCTACTAGGCCTGCTGATTTGGTTAGATATATATCTCGTGGTTCCCGCTCTTATCAAAACATAAATAAATATTCAATACCACAGAATCCGTTTATAATTGATTACAAAATGCAGAAGAAAATTCAAGCAAACTTTTTCACAATTCATGGAGACGCATGGGTCGCTATGTCTGACTTAGGTCTTGCAAAACAAAGACGTCTTTTTCCGATATTGAGGCCTAAATATAAAACATACAAACAAAATATACACTTTCTCGACTTGATTTTCGTGTAGAAAACTATCACATCTACATTTTAACAGAAAATAAAAAAAAGAAAAAATGGGTTTTTTGAGAAAATCAATTTCAAATATGGTACTTTTTGGTTTTCACATAACATTAACGTATACGTACCGCAAAGGATATTTTGTACAGCTGAATCATTTTATTATACATATAAAGAGCGTGTTTTGGGCTCTCCGTGGACATAAAAAATATTGATATAACCCAAGTAGATCACCAGTAAATAATTGTCAAAGTTCGTCAACAATTGATCGAGGGGGCGTTTTTGACATTTTTACAGAAAAAAAGCAAAACGCATAAAATTATTTTATGGTATTGGAGCCTTTTAAGTGTGTTCACAGAATGCCTGAAAAAAGATAATATAATGTGGACTGAAAATCCACGGCGGGAGATCAAGCGAAACATCCGACCCACGACGGGTGTGAAAAACACTGCTTTTCGCCGCGGCCCCTTTAAAAATTCATAAGTCGAAGAAAAAAAATCTGACGAACTTGCGGTTTATGGCGACTGCGTTTTTAGAAACGGCGCCATAACATATATTTTTTTCGTCGAAATTAAAAATTCGACCCTTTTTGCCTGCACGATTTGAGATGAAACCACCCATATATATATATATATATCTATATATATATATATATATATATATATATATATATATATATATATATCTATATATATATATATATATATATATATATATATATATATATATATATATATATATATATATATATTATCCTCGATTTTCTCTAAACTTTTCTCTATAAAATATCGGAGACGGGGAATTTGGAATCCGCAAAAACATGCTGCATTATATTGTTTTAAATAAGAAAAAGAGGTGTTTTCCCAGGTCTCTGTTCCAGTAAATTACCGTTGCAGGCTGGCTGTCTCAGCGACTAGTGGTACTCGAACACCGCATCCACAGTAACCGTAATTGGTCACATTATCTCCCAAAACACAAAGCAATATATATTAAAAAAAACTGGGAGTTATTTTATTAGTGATGTGGCTAATATTGCCTATGAAAACTAAATTTTGCGGCGCATTCGGTCCTTGGGGTGTAGTGCTTGGTTGATTGCGCTACACCGCACTAATTTCCGAGGGTATGGGTAGCCTGTTGACAAAATTATTCG